GTCCATTGGCCAACAAAGCAGATATGATCTCTTCATTGAAAGTTTACAGGGTGTATGTATGAGAGAGAGGGGGGAGAGGGAGGGGGAGGGAGGGAGAGATTGTGTGTACTGGGGCTTGAAATCAGGGCCTAGGTGCTATCTCTTAGCTTCTTCACTCAAGATTGGCATTCTACTACTTGAGCCACAGCTCCACTTCTGGCTTTTTGCTGGTTAGTTGGAAATAAAAGTCTCACAGGACTTTCCTTGGAACCACAATCCTCATACCTAAGCCTCTTGAGTAGCTAAGACTACAGGTATAAGCCATTGGTAACTGGGGAGCATATAAGGTAAGGGGAAACATAAGACATTGAGGCCCAGATTATGAGAGAGGAAAGGGAACGGCTTTACTTTGGATGACTGGCAGTATGAAGGGACTTCCACTTCTCTTGAAGAACATGCTAATTTCTCCTATTACAGGGCACAGTGGATTTTCATGCATTTTTAAATAACATTTTTATTTTAGAGCACTTAAAATTGTATAATTATTGTGAAGACAGACCAGAATTCTTAAAATGCCCTATAGTCAATTAATTGGTACCATTTTTCATATTCATGAATTAGTATTCACTAACTAATATTAACTAAAGCGCCTAGCTGAAACTCTTCAGTCTATCCTTACTGTCCATTTTCTTTCCCAGGATTCCATCCAGAACATCACAAGACCTTCAGTTGAGTCTCTGGGCTCCTCTTGGGTTTTTGTTTGTTTGTTTGTTTTGATGACAAGTTTCAATAGTACTAGGCAGGTTATTTTATACACTGTCCCTTCACTGGAATTTGTCTGATATTTTTCTCCTAATTACACAGAGTTGTGGGGCTTGGGCAGGAAGATCATGAAAACAAGTGCCATTTTCACCCAGAGTTACTAAGGTTACAAACTGTTAATGAGATGCTGATAATGATGTTAACTGTGAACCCCTAGCTGAGGTCAGATTTCTCCAAAGGAAAAACATTACCCATTTTTCCACCTTCTCTTTATGTACTGTCCTCTTTGGAAGGAAGTTGCTGTATACACCCATGCTTAAGATGTGGGGGGCTTGGGGCTGGGAAGGTGGCTCAGTGGTAGAGCACTTGTCTTGCATGCATGAGGCCCTGGGTTCGATTCCTCAGCACCACATAAGCAAAAAGAAAAAAGCCAGAAGGTGCTGTGGCTCAAGTGGTAGAGCGCTAACCTTGAGCTGAAGAGCTGAGGGACAGCGCCCAGGCCCAGAGTTCAGGCCCCACGACCAGACCCCCCCAAAAAAAATGATGTGGGGGCTTTAAGCCAGGTGCTGGTGGCTCACATGTGTAATCCTAGCTAGATCTGAGGATCACAGTTCAAAGCCAGATTGGGCAAGAAAGTCTGTGAGACTCTTATCTCCAATTTGCTAGCAAAAAAAAAACCAGAAGTGGAGCTGTGGCTCTAGTGGTAGAGCACTAGCCTTGAGCACAAAAGCCCCAGGAACAGACCTCAGGCTGAGTTCAAGCCCTGGGACAAGCCACACAGACATACAACACACACACACACACACACACATACACACACACACACACACACACACACACACACATTTAAAAAGTGGAGATTTTGTTCCAACTCTGAGGACAGAATATCTATTTTGTTCCAACTCTGAGGACAGAATATCTATATAAATTATTTGCAGGAAATCTGTTTTGCTGTTTATGCATTTTACCAATATGCTTATGCTGGGATTTTTTTTTACATTTTAAAAGTAAAAGAAAAAACTGTTAGTATTTTATTTCAATTAACAAAAACACATTAAATTACCAAGACATTAAATTGAAGGGAAGGAAAAGGCTGGTAATTATTTTAATTTTTTTCTATTGTCAATATGCATTCATGAAAGGAGATTTGGGAAATAGCAAGAACACAGGACCTCTCTAGTTTCATTCCTTAAAGCTGGCCACAACTCACATTTCAATTTATTATCTTTCATTTTTCTTTGGTGCCCAATTTTTGCATGGAGCTTACTGTCTATATAGTTTTGTTTCTTGTCTCCTCTCATTATGGCATAAAAATATTTCCTCTGTGTTGTCATTTAGACTTCATAGCTATTATTTTCAGTAACTGCTAATTATTCCTTCACATGGCTTATTGTGTCTCCATTACCACCACCACCACCACCACACCCCCCCCCCACACACACCGCCAAGCCACCAGGTTCCTCGTATTTAATTGGTGTTTCGAAGTTATTTGTTAAGTGACAACAAAGTGATTATTCCCTAGACTCTAAATGTATATCATCTTATATTCCCTTGATTCTAAACAGTTCTGAGACAGAGATGTTGTTCTTGAGTGGAATTACCAGGCCAACAGAGACCAGAAACTTTTAAATCAATGTACAAAACCAGAAATCTTCTTCCTCTTCCCTCTGCACCACCAGCAATTGTGCCAAGGGTAATAATTTGCAATTGATTAAAGAGTTTGTGGGGTGTTTTTTCCCCATCTTTTTTTCCTCTCTCTCTCTTCTCCCCCTCCCCTCCTGCCAAAAAGGAGGAAAATTATCTGAGAAGGTGAAGATGTTCTCAGACAATCAGATTAACATATTCCAACAATCGCAATTTGCAAAATAGTAATCACAACTCCCAGACTCTGGGAGGCATTAATCAAAGCTACAGGTTTAATTCCATCTTAAATATTGATGAAATGTGCTTCTGCAGCCTCACCCTGGCGTGGCAGGGCCAGGGAGCCTCGGAGGCGGCAGGGAGGTGGAGGGAGGGTGGGGGAGCAGCTGCCGGGAGGGGAGGCATCTGTGATTCAAATTGGTGGCTGTACAGCCAGGTAGAGAGTGAAAGGGGTAGTGAAGAGGGCTGTTAAGTCCATTGCTGTCAATTTGTAACGATCAGGGAGGGGCCTGAGGACTGGTTCTGCACAATACACCCAGTTTGTCTGGTTTCAGGGGTTACCACTGAAGAGGCTGCAGCTGCACTGATTCGAATAGCCTGGAGACTTCAGAACTGTAATTATCAACCAGGCAGCTCACAGTGTGGCAAAAGTGGGCTCCACCAGCGCTTAACTCCTTGTGTGCTGACTTATCACTACCACTCTCCCCACCCCTGCACTGCCAGCCTCTGCTAGGACTCTCAGCAGCCCGCCCAAGGGAAACCAAGGCCCACTGGTTCCTTAAGGCCAATCCTCCCAAGGCCAGGGCATTCTAGCCAGCAAGCCTTCCTTGGGTTATCTGCAATGGAATGGGGCTAGGGAGACAGGACTGTGTAGGCAACCTGGCCCTTTGCACCACTGAGTCCCCCCTTGGATGAGAAGTCAGGCCACAGGGCTGGACGAACCTTGGCTCAAATTCCACCTAGGACAATGTGTGTATCCTCTGCAAAATGGGGTGGTCTCTGCCCTGCTGGGCAGCTACAGAAAGATCCAGTGAGACTCAGAGTGTTGGTGAAGATAACCATGGGCTGGCTGGCTCTGAGCTGCCAGCTTCCTGTCCCTGGCTCAGCCTCCTGCCCTGGGTGGGGTCATCTCATTCTCGGGAGGGTAGGCTTGTGCTGGTCCCAGTGTGTTTCTGCTCTCTGGGAGAGACCACTTGCCACCCAAGGAGGATAAAAAGTCTCATCCTCCTGTTTTTTTTTAGGCAGCAGGCAGTAGATTGGGCAGAGGAGACCCTTCCCTACCAAAGGAAAAGAGGTGACAGAGCGGGGGTGTGGGCTCAGCTGGGAGCACGGGTGAGGGAGGGTCTGTTCAGGATCAGTGATCCCTATCCTGGAATTTCCCCCAAGAAATTCTCCCACATCCTTATGCAGGAAGGCTTAGGCCCAGAATGTTGGTCCCAGTGTCGGTCCTGGCATGGGGAAGTTGGAAGCCACCTCCACTTGCCAACACTGGGAGGATGGGGGGGGGGAGCCAACCATGGAACACAGGACACAGGCTGCAGCAATGAGGCATAGAACTAGAGGTATATATGGCAGCCAGAAGAGATCCTGACCCCGCACTGCTGAATGAAAGAAGTACGACACAATGAAACTCGCCACACAATGCTGTTTTTTGTAAATTAAAAACACATTCACACACAAAGCAAGAATACGTATTTTATAGTGCTGGGTGCATTTTTAGGGGTATATATCCTCCCACCATTGGAGTAGGTCCCTGTGGTGATGGATGAGGAGGCTGGGTGTGGGATCTGGAGGAGAAAGGGGAAAATAATAAAGAAAAAGGAAGTAAATCACAGGGGTTCTTCACAGAGAGATGACGATAGAGCGCCAAGGACTGGAGTGGCTGACTCAGTCCTGGATTTGAGGTTTTGAAAAGCAACACAGGCTTTGTAGTTAGAGAACCATAGGCTCAGTTCCCGGACTGTTCCACATACTAACCCTGGAGCTGTGGACAAGGGTCCCATCCTCAAGGGCCTCTGTCTGTTCATCTCTCCAGTGCATCTTACCATGGTACCTTGCCTGTCACGGAGGCCCTGGAGACCGAGGGCAGGGAGATGACTGCATTCAAGGCCTCAGGGAATGGCGCTCCCCTCGAAGGCACTTGAGTCAGCAGAGAGTGTTGGCTCCCTGGGAAACCACAGGTTCTTTGAAGAGTCACGAATAAACAGAAACCAATATCTGAGCCTCTGACTCCTGGCACTACAGGCCTGGCTCTGCTACATGGCAGGGATTATCTGTGATCTACCAGCCCAGGTTGAGCGTGAGGGCCTCACTCTCTTACTGTCCCTCGGGATCAGATGAGCTTCAAATGGCCAAGTCACCTCTAGATGCCTCCAACAGCAGCTGCAGCCACAGACTATAAACCCTTCTATGTTCATTCCCCCCCGTGCTCTGTGGAGGGATTTGCTTTCAATGAAAGGTCTATTACTGCCCACCAGAGCTAGATACATAGGCTATGGGCAGGCCAGCAGCCTGTGATGGAATGCACTCCGTTCCACATATCCCACCCGGAGTACTGCCAGGACAGGGAAGGTCTCAGAGAGCATCAAGTGTGACTGTCTCTTCCTCTTTCCCCATAGATGATGATGAGCATGAGTGGATCATCAAGGCCTGTCGGAAGGGCTGGGATGAGATCGTTGGTCACAGGCCCAAGCTGTGAACCCTACCAGAAGTTTCCATCTGCCGTGCTGACATTGGGAATAGGATGTAGATCTAGAACTTCAACTTTTGACTCTGGAATAAAGGCTTCCTGCACTTTGTTATGTAGTGGACCTAACTGTGCTGGCTTTGTAAGTATGTTTCCCAGAAAGTGTCTTTGTTTTACCTGTGTCAGAATCATCTGGACAAAATTATGAACTATAGTTGTTCCCAGGCCCCAGCCTAGACTTGCTGACCAAAATCTGTGTTCCAAGGTACTGGTATCTCACATCTGGAATCCTAGCTACTCAGGAGGCTGAGATCTGAGGATCTCGGTTTGAAGCCAAACTGGGCAAGAAATTCTGTGGAACTCTTATCTCCAATTGTGGAGCTATGGCTCAACTAGTAAAGTTCCAGCCTTGAGCACAAAAGCTCACGGATAGTGCCCAGGCCCTGAGTTCAAGCCCCAAGTGCTAGCACAAAATAAAACCAACAAACAAAAGAGTTTATGGGAATACAAAACAAACAAAAAAGAATCTCTGAGAACTGCCTTCCCAGGTACTTCTTATGTAGAAAGAAGTTTGAGAACCATTATCTTATAATAACAGATATATCTAATTAAATAAGCAACGGGCAGGTATAAGCAGTGTGTGTGTGTGCCATTTTCTCTGCAAGGAAGGGCTAAGCATTGCCTTTTGCAGATGGGGAATCTGAGGTTCAAAGTGACTCACTTGGTCTGAGGGCAGTAGGACCTGATCATTGTGCCCAGCTCACAGCCAGCGCCTTTCTAAAGGCACAGGAATGACTTCCTAAGACTGCCTTTACCTCTGTCCAGCTCAGCCACCTGAAACATGTATTATAAGCACAGGTTCAATTCCTAGCTGGAACACAGACATCATATAATCCTGGACATGTCTTTAACCTTTCACTTTCTTCTCTATAAAATGGCGATTGTGGCTTTACCTGGGGTGAGGGGAAGGGAGGTGAGGTGGGGAGAGCCAGGCGAGATGGAACCAAAGTCCTCATGGCCAGATCATCTGGGTTTTGAGGAGCAATTTTCTTTCTTCCCATTGAAGAGGAAAAAGCTTTTTCCACTGGTACATTAAAAAACCCTCAACCACAGGGAGAAACCAGTGATTCTGGACAAGTGCCAGCACAACCCAGAATGCTCAGAGAACCAGAACTTTTCAACTACAGAAGCACAGACATTTACTGTTGGCCACTGCCAGATTTGACTGGGATTCCAAAGCACCATGGGCACAGCAAATAAGAAACAAAGGATTGGGCTTATTAAACTCATTAAGCCTGTGATAAGTGCTGTCTTCAAAAAGATGTGTAAGCTGGGCACCGGTGGCTCACACCTATAATCCTAGCTATCCAGGAGGCTAAGATCTGAGGACTGCAGTCCAAAGCCAGCCTGGGCAGGAAGGTCCATGAGACTCTTGTCTCCAATTAACCACCAGTAAACCAGAAGTAGTGCTGTGGTTCATCTGGTAGAGCACCTGCCTTGAGTTGGAGAGCTCAAGGACAGTGCCCAGGTCCAGATTTCAAGGACCATGGCCAAAAAAAGAAAAAAGAAAAAAAAAGATGTGTAGAGGGTGTGGTGGTGCACACCTGCAATCCCAGCACTGGGAGGCCAAAGGATTACCAATTCAAAGCTAGCCTGGACTATATAGTAAGAATCTGCCTCACAAAAAGGAAAAAGAGGGAACAAAGATCAATTAGTTAACTGTGCATATAATCATGCCTTAAAATACCCAGATAGCACGTTTGTCAGCTATAACTCAAGACATGCCCACATGTTCCAGGTCCACTTATGGCCCCCAAGCCTCCCCGCCCTGTGTCTCCTGGGAGGCTGCTCTATCCTGCCGGCCCCTAACTGTGTCCCCTGGCTCACCAGCGCTGCACAGTGGAGGGCAGAAGCATAGGGATTGGGATTGGGAGGACTCTGCTAAGGTCTGCAGAGGGAGGAAATCAGATCTCAAACCAGAGACACAGAGCAGTCATGCAGGGAGAATCAGCAGCCAGAGGGAGGCCTGGTCCCACTCTCAGCTATATCACAGAGGGGACTGGGGAATCACCTCCCTCCAATTGCCTCAGGAAAATGACAGGGTTGAGATCCGCTAGTGGTCCCAAATTATTGTGAAAAAACAGAAAGTACATTCAGGTAGGAGAAACACACACATGCATACACATACAACTAAATCAGTATGTTTTAGTGATATATCTAAATTAACATCACAAAATGGAAGAGTTAACAAGGAGGGGACAGCTATGAAATCAGAGGTGGATAACAACAACAACAACAAAAACTAATAAAGACAATCGCCCTGCAGTGTCAGTAACCATGTGCATTAGGAATGGCATTTTACAAGCAGCAGTCCAGGGCTACAGGAGGCTTAGGAGCCTCCATACCTGACAGGGTTGTTCTACTTTCCATATCCAGAGGCTTGACTTGAACAAAGGATTCTGTAGATAAAGATTAGATAACCACTGAAAAGGTACACTTCTGGGGCTGGGAAGTTGGCTCAGTGGTAGAGTGCTTGCCTTGCATACATGAGGCCCTGGGTTCAATTCCTCAGCACCTCATAGGCAGAAAAAAGCCAGAAGTAGCACTGTGGTTTAAGTGGTAGGGCGCTAGTCTTGAGCTGAAGAGCTGAGGGACAGTGCCCAGGCCCAGAGTTCAGGCCCCATGACTGGAAAAAAAAAAAAAGGTGCATTTCTTCCATTTTCCAGAGTACGTGATACCCCGGAATCTGGCAAAGACACTATGAAACCTAGAAACTGATGCCTTATCTCTCATCCCAAGGTGCCTTAACTTCACCTTATTTAATTCTTCCCCATCATCCACACAAGCCTGGGTGTCCCTCCCTCTTTGTCCTCCTACCAACACCTTCATCTTTCCTACATATTCTCAGGAGACAGGATCCAGCCCAAATGCCTTTCCTCAGCCCCACAGGTAGCTGGAGAGATCTGTTTACATAGAATTGACCAAACTTCTTTAGGGCAAGGTCAGTCTTGGACACTTCTCTGAGTCTAGAAAGCCAGCACAGGATCCAATAGAGAGCTGGTAGTGTCAGAGCTGGTGTTCAAGGGGCAGAGTGAAAGACAGTAACCAGCTTGATTGCCTACAAAGACTAAAATGCAAAGGAGAAGCAGTACCTAGAGAAGCATTGTACCTTTACAATGCACATTTTACTAACTGGGAAACAGTACCAACTTTCCAGAATTTCACTGTCCAGAAATTCTGGAAGCCTGAGAGCCAGAGAGCAGGAAAGAAATGGAATCCCATCATGTTCCTGATTCAAGTGCCAGCACTTCTACTTGCATTAACTTTATTTATTACACAAATAAGACATTTACAAAGCACGACATGAAAGGTATGTAACAAAACAGACATTGGTTTTACAAAAAAAGTGCTTACAATTTTTTTCCGTGTGTATGTGTGTGTGTGTGTTTCCCTTTTGTATTTAAATAAATAGTCTAGATGGCCTGTACATTCCCAGGCTATCCTTAACAGGGTAGTGGAGACGTCTGAACTGCAACATGCTACGACCGTGTGATCCACGCAAGGAATAAGCCCTGGTGAGAGGCTCAAGGCAGAGTGGGTACTGGATGACCCTGGGCAGGGCTCAGCTGGCCGCTTACTACATAGTTGCAATTGGGGCTTTGATCATTAGGAGCAAATATCTAAGGACAGATTTGAGCTTCCCAAGCTCAGTGATCAGGCCCAGGTTGCTCCAGTTACTGTCAGAGCTCAAAACAGGGCACCTGATGCATTCTGAACTGAACTGCACTCACAGCAATCTGGGTGGGGCTTTCTCTTCATCCTCAGTCAGCTGTGACATCTTTGAAAGGGAGAGGATACAGGTTCCCTTCTTGGGCCACACTCATGTTTACCTCTCCTGCAGTCCTAGAGCAAATAGCATAGAGATTCTCATTGAAGGACCAACTTCCAACAGGTGAGACCTGAAACCTTATTTAGACTCCGTGAGAACGAGTGCTGCAATTGATTAGCAATGTCTGCCATGGGTAAAACCAAGGACTGCAGTTGCATATGTATTATGAACTTGCATCCCCTCTCTTAGAGTCTCCTTCCAAAAGCAGGAAGGAGGAATTGAGCTATAACATGTTTATTTGCATCCTGTGGTGGCAAATACATCAATCAGGTCACCACGCAGTTCTAGAACTCAGGATAAGCTTGGGACAAATGGGCATCCCGAAAACATAAATCATGATCTTGTATAGTCCAAGCCCTTTGTTTGGGGTGGGACAGTTGCAGTAGGCTGGGGTGGATGTGAGCTAAGTCTGGCCTCTGTTCTCAGAAGTGGGTGGGGCTGGCTCTGGGAAGAGTTGGTGGGGAAACACAGAGGTGCCAGCTGGATTCCTGGGCTTGGCACACTCACGGGTGACTCTCTCTACTCAGAGATGGATTAGAATTAATACTCTGGTTGCCATTTCACTCGGCTCACTTCCCTGGCTCTCCAGGAGTGGTCTTCCCCTCTTAAAAGCCTTGCAACTCCACCCCCTATCCAGAGGGAACAAGTAACCAGTGAGTTCCCACTCCAATCTTCCCAAACATTCAGCAGTGTCATTGCACAGATTAAATACCATTTCTGCCATGGTTTTTTCAAATACACTAGAAAAATTAAGTGGAAATTAAGCTTTTTCTTTCTTCTCCATGAAACGGAGTCTTCCCAATCTGTCTCCCTTCTCATCTCCAAACCAACAGGGGTCTTTGTCCCCATCCCTGCCTGTCTCTCTGTCTCTTGGTCTGGGCAGGCCTCCATCTCTGCCCTACTGGGCCTCTCAGGGTTGGTCAGTGTCTCTTCTCTCTCTGAATTAACTTGACATAACCAGACAGATGGAAACGATAAAATTAGAACATAGCTTTCCTTTGGGGACATCCCACAAACACTGTAGAGTTTTCCAGACAAAAGCAACAGAGTGGATAGCATTGGGGGTGGTTGGCTATTCATAATTCAGAGATGGTTCCAAGGAAGTAGTAAATAAAGGCCAAGATGGGAGGAGTGGGGAAGAAAACCTGTAAATTAGGAGGCTGTTGGCGTCACACGATTCATTTCGCCCTTTGCTATTGTAATCAGCTGAAGTTGAAGATGACTGCTGTTCAAATTGGGGGTGGGGAGGGAGAATAGGCTGTTGTTTCCACCCTGGTTCCACATTTCAGGGAGCTCTGTCTTCCAAGGGGAGGACTCTGTGGTGCTCCTGGCAGGTTCTGTTTCTCAGCAGGAGAGGGCGAGGCCAGGCCTGGGGAGGGATCCGAGCTGGCCACAGGCAGGCAGGATGGCAGGAAGGGGTGGATGCAGAGGCGATGGATCCCTGGCTGTGGCTTGGACACTGGATCTCAGCGGCTGAGGGGCAGCTGTGGGGTGTCCGTGGACAGATGCGAAAATGCCGGCAGCATTAATACTGAAAAAGGATGACCTGCAAGAGGAGAGTGTGGGATGTGGCTCAGTAGGGGGGGGCGGTGCCTCACCCTAACATTACAGGGGAATCTCACAGGTTTGCAGCATGAGGATGGGCACAGCACCTAGATAAGGATTTAAAGCCTAGCTCCTAGCTCCTAGCTAACTTGCTGCAGGACCTTGGTAAACTCACTTCTTCTCTCAGAGCCTCTTTCCTCATCAGTAAACATGGATAGCAAAATCTCTCAGAACAAAGTGGACTGAGTCAGATATAATAACAGCAGAAAAAGTCTACTGGGCACTTGGCCCTGCACCATCCATGTGTTAACTCATTGAAGCCACGCCCCAAACTCAGGCGGAAATCCCACTAAGGTTCCTATTTCACAATACTGGAGAGAGGACTGGGCTCAGAGAAGTGACCATTAGTGAGTCCATGATCACCCAGTGAGGAAGAGGTCAACCAATCAGGTGTCCATAAACAGTGCTGGATGGGCAGACCCTCTTCTTTCCCTCTCCACCTTCCGCCTAAAGCACCTGACGGACACCTCACTCTTTTCCACACAACCAGTACCTGATGTTCAGCTCAAGATTATTGATTGACTGGCTGGTCACAGTAAAATGTGGATGAGGTTTCAACTGGTCCAAAGATATCTAATGGCCACATGGCCAGTACATTGACTGATCAGAAATTTGCTTTGTTTTGTTTTTTTATGAGAATCAGATACCATGAGGAGTTGGAGGAGGAAAGTGATGATGACAATTTCCAAAGTAGCTCAATAGCATCCCCATAATCCATGGATTCAGTTGTCTGTGGCCAATTGCAGCCCCCAAATATTCGTATTGGTCTTGACTCTCTCAAGAGAGAGACCACATTCACATAACTTACTGTATATTGTGATTATTCTATTTTATTGTCATTGTTGGTAATCTCTTACTATGCCTAGTTGATAAATTAACCTTTATCATAAGTATGGATGTATAAGAAAAAAACTAGTGCATGGTACACACACACACACACACACACACACACACACACACACACATGGTTCTGTATTAGCCATGATTTTTATCATCTACTGGGATGTCTTAGAACACATCTCCATGGATAAGGGGAGGACCCCTGTTATGACAACAGTTACCAACATCTACAGAGCCCTGGCTACAGACCCTGCAGCAAGACTTGACACATATCATTGTATTTAATCTCTGCAGCAACCCTATGTGGTGGGAACTATTATTATCCCCATTTTGCAGATGTAGAAGCTGGAAGCTTGAAGAAACTAATTGTATTCTCAGGAGGAGAAGGTTGACAGATGTGGGACTCATGGTCTCTTAACTCCAGAGTATACAGTGTATACAGTGCATTCCTCACCCCTACACACCTTGGGTATGGCATATAGGACACTGAGCTTTGTGTTTTTATTAACAGAAGTTCACTTATAAGAATGGACCCTGATCAGATCTTTCCTTTCTGTAGGCCTCAGTCTCTCCATCTGGCCTTGACTTTGAAGAACTTTCCAAGTACTGAAGTTAGGGGATCAGAATACATGGTCAGGAAAACAAAATTGGTTATGGAAACTCACAGGCATGTGTGGCCCAATGATGCTGCTGTGGAGGCAGGAAGTTGTCCCTGAGAATGCTCAGGGCCTTGCTGTCCTAGCCAGGCCAGCTGTTCTAGATGAGTGGATTCAGACACCAGCCACAGGAGGACACTGAGTCTCCTCCCAGCAGGCTGACTCAGGCCAGAGGGAGTTGGTAGAAAGCCCACAATATCCTATGCTCAGTCTGCCCAGAACACACTCCGTGACCCACACATTTGACCAGATGTGGAAGGGAAAAGTCTTTGGGAGTGGGAGTGGGAAGGTAGGGCAGATGATGAGAGGGCAGTTGGTCATGAAGGAGGATGACATTGTAATGCACAGCTTCTGGATACAAAGCTAGGGACACAAGCCAGGGACCAGAAAGCTAGAGCCAAAGGTACCAGTGCCCAGCCTACCTCATCTTTCAAGCTGACCCAGACATAACCACAAGCCTAGCTGAGCAAAGCACTGATTCTAGCCCCATACCCTTCCCTGAAACAATGTTCAAGCTATTCATGTAAAGGGCCAGACTCTTAATTATGTGCCTCTTGCCCTTTCTCATCCTGTCAGCTTCCCTACCTCCCCAGGCCCCAGCCACGTTATATATATATATATATATATCCATCCAACCCAGGACCCCCTATGCTTCTGTGCATTTGTACATAGTATTCTCTCTGCATGGAAGGTCTTTCTTATCCTCTTGCCTCTCTCCTGTCGTAGAATAAAGAACCCTCTTCTGGGTCCTCCAAGGTCACTCCAGATGCCGCATCACCCTGCAGTGGAACCGCCCAAATTCAGCTCTAAGCCACAAGCTTAAAGATAGGGAACCTTTCCCTCCCAGTCTCAATCCCAGGCCTAATAGCTCTCCCATGGAAAAGGGCAGTTCCAAGGCAGGCAGTCCCAAATCAAGGTCAACTCTGCTCATGATCAATGTGAGCCTGGGCATGCTACTGCACTATCTGAACCGCCTTCTCTATTGGTATGAAATGGAGGTCATCATAATCACACTTTCAGAAAGGTGGTGAAGAATGAGGTCTAGAGCACCCATGAACTGTGCAGATCACACAGTCCAACACATTCTACCACATCTCTGGACAAATTGTATCATTCCTCTGAATCTCAGTTTCCCTGTCTTTGTGATGAGAATAGCAGTAGCCGCACCCAGAGTTAGCTGGGAGGTATCAAGCAGATTATCTGTATAAGGTGATCTGACTTAGAACTGAGAAGAAGCTCAATAAACAGCAGGTCTTACTGGGAATGTGACAGTCTCAGAGGGGTCCTGCCAAAGACCTGCTCATCTGCGCTGGGATTCTCCTGTGTTAAGCTCTACCATTCACATGTAAATGTATCTGTCCAATTAGCCTGTGTCTACCTGGGTACTACAGACATTCCCCCATGGTGCCCATCACAAAGGGGCTCAGCACATATCAGGTGCTTAACTGAGAGGCAGAGGCAGACAAAATATCCCATAGGCCTGTTCCTCACTATCTGAACCATAGGACTGGACATTAACTGTGCAGATTTCTGTACCTCACCTCAAACCTGCCAATCACACCTTCTACCTTGAGAAACAATACCTCTCCAAGCTGCCTAGTGATACTGAGATATACTGAGCCTGAAATGAGCTGGACTGGATGTGGGTAAAAGGCTCTTTCCCTCTCTCCTGGTCCATCAGGTCCAAGTTCATCCTCCTACCCAGCCTCTCTTTCTCTGAGGACCACCACAGTGGCACTGCCTGCAAATGCTAGCCCACCCTGTCCCCACTGGCCCATAATAAAGTCCAGACCCTTGACCTGTCCCTATTTTTCATCATTTTGCCTGTCAAGCCTGTATGCCTGCATGCCAGTGACATTTAATGGCTCAGGAGTTCCCTAAAAGTACAATAACTTCTGCCTTGAACCCTGATTGAGTTTTTCAGACCTGGGCCTGCATTACCTTCTTGTGGGAAGCCTTCCCTACATCTCTCCTTCACCCTCACCCTTCCCTTCCCCAGGCATCACGTTCACAGTTTGACTATTGGGATCTGCCTCCCTCTCCAGATTCTCATGGACTCTTCTAGAACAGTAGCCAGGCTTTACGTAACTCTCTGCTGCTATCTGGCTAAGTAAGCAAATGAATAAATGTTTGTGTTCTTATCTAGGCTCTGACCTGGAGCATCTTGGAACTACAGCGATGGTTTCCAAGGCTAATAGTAAGATGTCTTTGGAGCTGAGAGGTGAAACTCCAACCCCCTTCAGGTTTCACCCAGAGCAGTGCCATCTACTTTCATCTATGTTCTAGATAAAAATTAAATAACAAGTGCTTAAAATCACAGCTTTCAAGTCATTGGGCTTCGCTATGTCTAAGCACCCCTGTGCCTATTCAGTAGTACTAAGGCCTGGAACAACCAGAGCTCCAGTTCCACAGGGGAGGTCTGCTCTCCCTTGGCCTCTCCCTTTGGTTATTCAATTCCCCACAGAGAGGAATGAAACCCAGGAAGAGGGGATACCAGTGAGATAACACAATACAGGCGGGTGTGAAACAAACACCCTCCCTGGAAATTCAAAGTATGAATAAGTTCATAAATCCAAAAAAAGAGAAGACCAAACTGCAGGAGACCCAGGGAAAGGCTGCAAGGAGGCCTTCAGGGCAATGATACACACAGAATACTGCAGCAGCTGCTTGGGGGACTGGGCCTGAGTGGTCTGCCACAGAGTGCCAGGGTCCTCATCCAACTATAGGGAATGCTTCCAGAAATCCATTCTTGACAGAAAAGCTCAGACCCACACCATACCCAACCAGCCTCCATTTACCTTCTCACCCCGGCTGGAGAGTGGCCCATCCATATCGGCTTTGAGGTGGACAGGGGGTGCGGTGTAAGGCAGCCGGCAGTGCACCTGCCCGCACTGTACCTGACCTGTGGACGAGAGGATGCCTTGGAGCCCATCCCCAGGTTCCATGCAGGATCTCACCTGCCCCATGCTCTGCAGGCTGGATCCCTGAGACCAGTTCCATCTCTGCCACTTACCACCTGGGGTGACCCTGGGAAAGATTTCAATTGGGTTGGTTGCAAGGCTGTATGTGAAGGGCTTTATAAAGTGTTGTGATTACAGCTGGGCAGTGGTGGCTCAGACCTGTAATCCTAGCTATTCAAGAGGCTGAGATCTAAGGATCCAGGTTTAAAGCCATCCCAGGCAGGAAAGACTGTGAGATTCTTATCTCCATTTAACCACCAAAAAGCTGAAAGCACAACTGTGGCTCAGGTAGTAGAGAGTTAGCCTTGAAGAAAAAAAGCAGAAGGACAGCACCCAGGCCCTGAATTCAAGCCCCAGCACTGGCACAAAAATAATTAGTTAATTAAATTGCTAGGTTTAACTGTCCAGCTCACAAATAAGCAATTACTCCTACATGCTTAATTTCTAAACACTTCTTAGAAGAATGGGTGTGCCTTATCTGTTCAAACCCTCACCTTTCCATTCTTAGCCCCAGGGTATCATCAAAGATGGCTTACCAAGGCTTCCTAGAGAACTCTATTCTTGGATGTCACTACCCTATCTATAACTATGATTTAATTCCAATAGCAACCTTTCCCATCCCTGTCCTCCTTTGTAGCTTTCATTTTCTTCCTCAGCCCTAATCATCTGATTAGGACTGTATTTTCTATTGCTTATCTGTTTTGCCATCTAGAATGCAAACTCTGTGAAGGCAGGAATTTTTGCTTCCTAGATTCCAGATCACTGTGGATTTCTAGTACCTAGAATGAGGTGTGGCATCTAGTGGATATTCTTTAACTATCTATTGAATGAAATTTTACAGCATTCCAGTATCTAAAACTCAAGAAAAGTCAACCTTTGTGTTGGTCCAAATCTCTCATACTTTAGCCGATCTACAACTACAATGATGAAGTCCTTCGTCTCTTCTTTAGACTTCACCCTCTTTAGTCACAGAAAGAACCCCATGTAGAGACTTACAATTGACATGTAACTTGGGACAAGTCATTGTACCTTTCTTAGCCATACTGCTTTCATCTGAAGAATAAGGCAATTATATTCAATCAGGAGTTGTTGTTCTTTTTGTTAATCGTGGGGCTTGAACTCTGGGCCTGGGCACTGTCCCTGAGCTCTTCAGCCCAAGGTGAGTGCTCTACCACTTGAGCCACAACACCATTTCTGGTTTTCTGGTGCTTAATTGGAGATATGAGTCTCACAGACTTTCCTGCCTGGGCTGGCTTTGAACTGTGATCCTCAGATCTCAGCCTCCTGAGCAGCTAGACGTGAGCCAATGGTGCCCAGCCAATCAGAAGTTCTTAACTCCCTGAATGATCAGGAAATTCATGAACAGCCTCAGATTACTCAAATAATATGTGTCTGTCCATTATCTGGAGTCAGGTTCCAAGATTTCATCAGATTCTAAGCTCTAAGGCCTTGAGAAACAAGACCATGTGACTTCGGTTAACTGCAAAGCAGAAGTTCTTTCTCCCCACCCCTGCCCCATCGGCTTCTAACACTCTCTTCAGCTTCCAGCTCTAATGCTTCAGAAAACGCAAGATGCCAGGCTTTTAGTAGACCAGAAAGCAAACTTCTAGGGTGACCTTCCATCATGCAGCAAGAACCAACAGGTCTAGACACCCCCAGCACATTCATCTGGGTTCCATTTCCAGGGAAAGAAAATGATACCCCAGGCCCTTCTTCAGGCATCAAAGACAAATCTAAACTTGATCAATGGAGTGTGTGAAGACTCTTGACCTCATTTCCAAGAGAAGCATCTAAATCCATTGCTGACTTCACACCAAGTATTAATCTGGCTGCCCAGATCCCTTCAACTTAGACAGACTCAGTGTCCTTGATAACTGTAATAAATATTTAATATGCTCTGTGCATGTTGAACATAAGTAATTGTTTAGAAATGAAAGTGCCCCTTCTGGCCGGCAAATGATTCAGAAATGAACCAATATAGAGATGCAGTTCTACCTAGCAGCCTGGTTAGTAAGCAGACTTCTGTACACCTGCTTCTGTTGACTGTTACCATCCCAAGGGCAGTAGCGTTTACTTAGCACTTAACTAAATGTAGAGGACCTTAAGTATGTTATCTGATATGACATTTACAACACAGCTTTCAGATATGTACTCTTACTATCCTTGTTTTTACACGGAGAGAACTGACATTCAGAGAAGCTAATAATCTCACGTAACATCATCCAGCTAGTAAGTGGTAGAGGTGGGATTTGAAGCCTAGCAGTCTGAAACCAAAGTCTACATTCAATTATTAGAGTGTACTAACTTCCACTAATTTAAGGTAGGCTCTTGTCACTGTAGTGAGCCCTTGGTTTCCTCATCTGTTCAGTGTAACAGTGATCTGTGATGGTTAGACACACAGTCTGTATAGTGTCTGACACATAACAATTGCTCCATAAGCAGCAGTTTGACTTTCCTTCTTCTTTTACTGTGAGCTAGAGAAGTGTGTGTGTGTGTGTGTGTGTGTGTGTGTGTGTGTGTGTGTGTGTGTGTGTGTGTGTTATTGCTACTACTTCAGCTATTTTGATGCTGCTGGCCTTGAGGAAGAGAGCCTGTGACAAGTGCCTTCTTGGTAACAGATTCACTGAATTTTCATCCGTTAGAAATCCAAGAGGCTATTCCTTCAACTTTCATATCCCTGCTCCAAAATCACATAACCGTGACCTGTGGTCATTATCTCCATCCACTTGACAGTGCTTCTGAAATGTGAATCTGAGGAGTGTGTCTGTTGTATGGCAGTACTAAGTATACAGGAGGCCATAAGAAATACATTTACTGGATGCACATCCCAGCTTACAGATGAGAAAACCGAAGTCTAAGAAGGTTAGGTGATTTGCTCAAGACCTGGCAGCCCTGAATGAGATCTGCTCACCACACTGATCTTGCATGCCTCCAAATGCACACATGCTAAGATGCTCTGTGCCCAGGGCCTGCCCACATTTAGTTGGCCTCCTCTTCCTCATCCTCCCAGTCTCCGTTTGCTCAGAGGCAGGTCCCCTCAGTCCTAACCAGCACCTTTCCTATAGGAAACCACAGGCTCAGGTGTCTTGTTGCTGGTTAGTTCTGCCCTCCAGAACGCAAGCTCCACAAAGCACAAACTTCACCCTTCCGTCTTCCTTTCTTCCTTAACTCCCTGGGCTTGGGCACCCTAGTGGGTGCTTGAAAAGCATTTTGGGGACTGATACTTGGCTTCGCTCCACCGAGGGCCCCGCCCCCGCGGGGAAATGACACCCCAGATCCGGGTGACTTCTGGTGCTCACGCCTGAGCCCACGAGGCTCCGCGAGGCCCCCTCCCACGCCGCGCCCCCCCCCGCCCCCGAGGTGGCGGTCACTTACTCTCGATGTAGCCGTGCAGGGTGACCATGCGCGCCCGCTCGGGGCTGCTGAACGGGGAGTAGTGGATGTCGTCTGACAGGGCGGAGGGGAGGCGGGATGGGGGCGCCCCGGAGGGCGGCACCGGATGCTGCGGTGTGTGCTTTTTATGACGCGCCCGGCAGTTTTGAAACCAGACCTGGAACGACAGCCTCCGCAGCGTCAGCCCTCGCGGAGAAGGGTGGCACGCGCCGCCCGGGGTGGGGGGACCTCAGGCCGAACTGCAGCCCCCGGCACCGCCCCCCCCCGTCCCCACACACACACCGCCGCCCGGACCCACAACCCCGCCGCCCGCGTCCGCGCTTTCCCCGGCCCTGCCCACCCCTAGGCCACGCCCACAACCTGAAGGCCACGCCCACCCTGGCCCCACCTGGATGACCCTGCGGCTGAGGCCCGTCATGTCTGCTAGCTTCTGCAGCGTCTGCGCGTCGGGGTTGTTGTCCTGCGCGAACTGCGCCTGCATCACCTGCGGGGCGCCGGAGGCCCGTGAGGCACCCGAGGCTCGTGAGGCACCGGGGCGAGCGGAGGTCGCCGAGACGGGCCTCCGGTCCAATCAGAGGCTCGGGACCCGAGTCCACACCCCAGCTCCCTCCCCTCCACCAGGCCAAGTAGCGGAGCCACAGGCTCCAGCTGGCCACGCCTACTCCTAGGCCACGCCCACACCCCGCCCGCAAGCGCCGCCTGGAGCTTCTTGCCCCGACTACCTGCAGCTGCTCGGCGGTGAAGGACGTCCGCGCGCGCTTGGCTGGCTTGGGTTGACTGTCCTGTTCCGAGGGCACTGCCCCCTCCAACGTGAGGCCATTCCCTGGGGGCGACAGAAGCGGCTGACCACGCGTCCCCATCTCTTCTAATGGCAGCCTGGAAAGGACGGGGGTGGGGGGAGCTTGTCCCTGGAAGGGTCAGGAGCGGAGGTGGCTGGGAATGGGGGTCCCGGGGTCCCAGTTCCCGAGCTCGGTCTTTGAGGAAAGGAGTTCTGTCCCAGAGCCCTAGGATGTGGCAGTGTCCCCATTTCACACAAGAGGAAACTGAGGCACGGGGGGGGGAAACAAAACCTCTGCCCCAAACCTTCCCACTGGGTTCTGAAAACTGGCTGACCCTAAACTGACCCAAACTGGGCTCCCTCCCAGCAAAACTGGGGAACAAAGGCTGGCAGAGATTGGAGGCAAGCAGGTTTGAGAGCTGAAATCTCGATTTTGTAAAGATGGGATGGAAAGATGTACACCGAGAAATCAACAGTGATGCATCTCCAAGGAGTGTGGTAATGGTGACTCTTTAATTTTATATTTCTATAACTTTGGAGGCCTTTGAAGCAATTATATGTCACCTAACTTCTCCAAGGTCTAATTTTATTAACTGGGCTCGATGTTCAGTATCCTCTTGCAATCTGATTTCAAACTACTGAATCTATTCACATTTTATTTTTATTTTATTTTTGTCGGTCGTGGGGCTTGAATGCCGGATCTGGGTGCTGTCCCTCAACTTTTCAGCTCACGGCTAACGCTCTACCATGTGAGCCACAGCACCACTTCTGGTTTTTTAGTTGTTTATTTGAGATAAGAATTTCATGGACTTTTCTGCCCTGGCTGGCTTTGAACCACAACCCTCAGATCTCAGCCTCCAGAGTAGCTAGGATTACAGGTGTGAGCCACCAGCGGCTGGCTCCCATTTTATTTTTAACACTTCATTTTACTAAATATGTGAATAATACATAGTCCACAATATTCCAACAGGCACAAAGAAAAGGGGAAAATATCACTACTGTTCAAAATTTAGTGCAACTTTTAATTAGGAGAAAAAAAAACTATGCTCAAAGAAAATCATCAAACATTGCAATGTGCATACATAGAAAAAAGCTGGACATCTAAACAATAAAACATGAAAAGGAAGTGGCATTTGGAGTGATCTTTATTTTCTTCTCTTTTTTAACCATCTTTTCTAATTTTTCTATGAAGGACTGTGTGTGTGTGTGTGTGTGTGTGTGTGTGTGTGTGTGTGTGAAAAGCAAAACAGTAAACCAACACTGGAGCTATGCAGTAAGGGATATGAGTCTGCTCACATAGTAAGAGCCAAGGTATTACTGGAGAGCCAAGACTAAGGATAACCCTGGATGGTCCAAGGGTAGAAGGAATCTTTGGTCCTGGTGAGCCATAGTATGGAGGTAGCTCTGATTCCTGGATTTCCATCCCAGCTCCACTGAAGACCTGCCTACCACTACCGAGAATTTCATTGCATCCCAGGTTCACTTGCTCCCCACTTAGCCCTGAGCCTGGCAAGAAGGTGTGATGGCCACCAGCAAGAACACTTCAGTGGTTCCTGAATAGTCCTGAAGCTGGGCCCTAGAATTGAGATTCACCTAGATGGGGGTGGGGGGGAGACCAGGATTGAGGTAGACACTTTGTTATATTAATGCCCCATAGGAAAGCAAGATAAGACTTAGTATGTCTGTTCTATTTGAATGGAAAAATGGAATGCATTGAGGCAGCCATATCGCAGCATCCTCCTGGCCTTATATGGACTTGCTGTGGTGCATGGGGATGAAGTTGTATAACACCTCATAATAGACTTTGGAATCAGACACACCTACTAGTATATAATCTTCGGCAAAGTTTCACGCTTCAGCTAACCTCTGCCTCTTTCCTAGTCTGCAAAATGGAGAGTGTCTTTCTAGAGTTATTGTAAAAATGACATGAGATAATTCATGTTACAAAGAAGGAAGCAGCATCTATACTCCCTGACCAGAGAAATGGTGGAAACCACTTTCCCTTTCCCTTCACTAGCCTTCTCTGTGACTCAGCTTCCCGTGTGTCTGTGAGACCTGGCCAGCTCCTGTCCCTGGAACTATATATATATTGAGAAATCACACTATCCCAAGCAGAGATGGAGGGATCACTGTTGCCCAAAACCTATCTTGCATTGATGGAGAACTGAGGCCCAGAGAGGAAAGGAAACTTCCTATATGTCAGCACTGTTATGTTCAAGCCGGGTCTCCAAACTCAGAGACCCATTCCTTAAACCTTGTATTAAAAGACCCTCCCCCCCAGCCCAGGATGAGACTCCTATCTGCATGTCTCTAGGACTGACCCCTGAAGCTGGAGGGGAACGAGCCCCACCCAGCCCAAAGAGAGCTTCTATTAGGTGGAGCAGGCTGGAGTGTTGGGGTGGTGTGTGGGATCATTATCCTTTTTTTTTTTAACAGATAGAATTTAACACAGAGTTGGGGAAGGGGAAGGGCAGTGAGGACTCCCCCACACACACAGAGATCCCTGGGGCCAAAGCGCATGCCCCTGTGCAGCTCTACCCCCCCCCCGGGCCTCCAGGTGTTCCTCTGGGGGTGGGGGTGTCCCTGGAGTGTTAGGATGGTGGGGTACAGAGTTGCTGGGGGGGGGATGGATACCGTTCTCAGCGGCCCTCTTGAGGTTCTCGATCATGGTGTCATAGTGGATGCGGCACAGCACCTTCTCCTCAACCAGGCCGAACTCCTCGCCGGTGGACAGCTGGCGCTTGCAGGAGAAACAGGCGAAGCAGGCTAGGTGGTAGGCGTTACCGCGAGCGCGCCGCACCCAGTCGCTGGCGTAGATCTGTCTGCCACATCGGGCGCACTTGGTCCCAAATCGGCTGTAGGACGTGGGACAAGGACAAAGATCGCACAACTTTAGACATCTCCCTCCCTCTGTATCCCCACCTCCAGTGCACTGAGCTGGGGATCCCGTCCCCAGGACTTCATTCATACCTTCTTGCTATTGCATTCATACCTAACACTTGATTTACTTTATTTTTTGAATTTTTTTTTGTCGGTCGTGGGGCTTGAACTCTGGGCCTGGGCGCTGTCCCTCAGCTCTTCAGCTCAAGGCAAGCGCTCTACCACTTGAGCTACAGCGCCACTTCCTTGATTTACTTTAATTACCCCCTCTACAGCCACATAGAAGATGAGCTGGTGAGCAATTTTTATTTTCTTCCTGGGACTTTTCTAAGTTTCCCACATTGTCTACTATGTTCATGTATTATATTAATTTGTTCATTAAAATGTATAGCCAGTAGCTCATGCCAGTAATCCTAGCTCCTCGGGAGGCAGAGATCTGAGGATCAGGGTTCAGAGCCAGCATGGGAAGGAAAGTCCATGAGACTTTTTTTTGGGGGGGGGGTCTGGTCATGGGGCCTGAACTCTGGGTCTGGGCACTGTCCCTCAGCTCTTCAGCTCAAGGCTAGCGCTCTACCACTTGAGCCACAGCCCCACTTCTGGCTTTTTTCTTTTTGCTTATGTGGTGCTGAGGAATCGAACCCAGGGCCTCAGGCATGCAAGGCAAGCGCTCTACCACCTTCCCAGCCCCTCCATGAGACTCTTATCTTCTATTAACCATCAAAAAGCTGGAAATGGAAGTGTGACTCAAGTGGTAGGGAGCCAGCCTTGAATGGAAAGAGCTAAGGGACAGTGCTCAGGCCCTGAGTTCAAGTGACAGTACAGGCACACACACACACACACACACACACACACACACACACACACACACATATCATGGGTTCATGGGCATTAGGAAAGTATAGTGGTACTGATAAGCAAGTTTTTGAGCACCATCTGCCTAGAAAGATTTTAAGTATTTTATAGTGGGTAATCTTCATCTTGCAGAGAAGAAAGTGAGGATCTTAGATGTTGAGTGAGTTGCACAAGGCCACACAGCTCATGAGGATAGGAAACTTAGCCGGTCTGACTCCAGAGATGAGTAAGCTATAGCCCCAGTGGTGCAGAGGCTCAGTTTCTTGAAAGAGTAGACAGACAATGGCTGATGCTGTGACCCAGAGCAAATAGTTTAACTCCTTCAAATTCTCATTTTCCTTGTCCTGAGCTGTCCTAAGTGACCACAACAATTAATTGTGTAGTGTTCTGCAGTCTTCCAAAATCCCAAGTGGTCCCAGGCCCTGCAGCCCATGACAAATGTGTGTGTGTGTGTGTGTGTGTGTGTGTGTGTGTGTGTGTTTTAAAGACTAAAATTTTTTTAAATAAAAATAAAAGGCCCAGGTAACTAGGCTGGTGGTTCACACTTATGATCCTAACAACTCAGGAAGCTAAGTTCTAAGCAACGAAGTTCAAAGCCAGCCTGGGCAGTAAAGTCCCTGTGAAACTCTTATCTCCAATTAACAAGCAAAGAACAAGTTGTAGAGGCATGGCTCAAGTTGAAGAACACCAGCCTTAAGGGAAAAAACAAAGGAACAGCCCCTGGGCCCTGAGTTAAAGCCACAGTACTAGTACACACACACACACACACACACACCACAGATTGTTTCCTTGCCCCCTGCACCTTCTGTACTTCCTTACTTCTGCCTCTTCCTCCTCTCCCTAAAGAGCTGTGCTCTTTAGACACAGCTGCCTGATTATCAGACTAGGACCCCCTTTGGGGAAATAGCAGTCTGGTTTATTCTGTACCAGGTCAAGCCTTGGGAAGTTTTGTCCTTTAAGTAGCTGACTCACCTGCCTGCAACTGTCCTCCCATTCAGCCTCAGTGTCCCCTAGTATACACTCCATTCCAGAGAATGCTGCTACCACACATGCAGCCCTCGGGCATGGAAATCTAAATTATACACTCTCCTCTCTTCAAAACCCCACATCCAACCAATCCTCAGGCTCTATGCGTTCTGTGTCCTAAATATCTCTGGAATCCATTTCCTCCTTGCCATCTCCAATACTACCCTCCTATGCCAGGTTCTTAATAGGCATCACTCACTGCCAGTTTCTGCCTAGGCCTCCCACTTTCCAGTCTTGCCCTGCCAACATACCCTCCACAAGGGCTCACAGTGAACTTCCCAGCATGCACATGGAATTCTGACCCTTCCCTGCTTTGGTGGCTCCATTCTGCTCTCAGAATCTGGTCCAAGATGCTTGGGGTTTATAAAACCCAACAGACCACATCCTCATCAGGCCCACCTCCTTTCTAATCTTCTTCACAGTCTCCCACGCCATCCCGCAGTGCCAGCATGTCCACAAAGGAAGGTCACTCCCAGGTCTTCTGGCCCCCTCTGAAGCACTTTCTCACCCCTAGGCCTTTACAGTCCTTCCCTGGACTTGTCCTTTCCAAGAGTCTCACTCCTAACATTAATTACACTGGTTCCTTGGCTCTCTCCTTCTACCCCAGGCACTATGGAAACTGGGTGGCCATACCAAAGTGATTCATCTTCTCATCCTCATGGGGTTGGCAGCCTTTCGACTGATGAGCATTCCCAAAGTACCTGTGGTGTGGCTGTAGAATATAGCCCACCCAGCAAAAATGCATGGATACCAGCATATCCTGCTTTAGCAAATTGGAGCAATTGTTGGGTTGTACTGAGTGTGGGAGTGCTGTAAGTTAGCTCATCTTCAGCTCACACATGCACTTATATTTTCCCCATAAGGGGTACTCCTTATAGGATACAGCCGGGACTCTAGGTATGCTCAGGAGGTACTACATGTTACAGGTTTCATTAATAAGCAGAGGCGATTTCCGACAGTCTATTTGGTCTCTATTCCTCCAGTAAAGTGGAGGTGAAACAGCTTTGTCCATCTATTCCAGCCAACTCCTGCCTGAGGTCAAATCCGAGGTCAAATTTGAGGTCAAAACTCCATTTGAAAGCACTTGCTAGGCTCTAAAGGGAGCCTGGCTTTCCATCTTTTGTGCTTTGTTAGGAGGCCAGCCAGCCACATACAGAGCCCATGCTGTGGGTCCGGGGCCAGGAGCCAGAGGCACTGTAGTATCTTTATTGCACCCCCCTGGTTTTGTGGAAACCCCATGATTTAAGGGCCCTGGAACCCGTTGTTTTCCTTTCTTTTCTTTTTTTCACATTTGGAGCTGGAGGTTTAGCGATGGTGAGTGACTTACTGGGAGATGACACTGGGTGTGGGGCCGGGGGAGAGCCCCTCTGAGATGTCAAAAAGACCTAGAATCTGTGGATGGTGGGAATGGGGTGGGGACAGAGAGAGAGAGAGAGAGAGAGAGAGAGAGAGAGAGAGAGAGAGAGAGCACACGTGCGAGCAGTGAGCTGGCATCCCAAGAGGATGACTAGGAAGCTTGACTGTCCTGGGGTTCCTAGTCCTAGCCAGGGGTCCTGGAACAGGCGCAGAACCGGGGCACAGCCAGCTCCAGGAGGCAGGAAATATGAGAGCCAGAGCAAGGGAGTTCCCGGCCCCAGAGAGGCCGCCTGTGGCTCAGTGCATGTGGGTTCGCTGAGCCAGAATGTGGGGTCCCGACCCTCATGCTTGGCTGAGTGGGATTCCTGGTGACTGGATTCCCCATGAGTGTCCCCGTGCAACCTTGGTCTTCCTGCCCTACAAGTCTCCTGAGAGCTGAGCCTGTCGGGTGCCTACAGAGGTAAGTCCCATCGCCCCCTGCCTTTGCTCTGACGTGAGTAACTATCAATTACTTTCTCAACCTCGTCCCCCCCAAAATGCTAGAAGTTGTTCCCCAGCACTCAGATCTACTCCCCGCATTTGCCTTGACAAAATCGCCCTCCGTGCGCTGAGATGCTGGAACTGAGATGGGTGTCACTCTGTCAGGTTCGCGGGCCATTCTTACATCGTGTTCCCGCCCCCAAGACAGAATTCAGAGCGCACACATGAAGGGCAGGCGCCGGGATCCAGGGATCCAGGGATTCACGCTCGAACAAACGGAGTCCTCCCCAGCCCGGCTGCAAGGTTCCACGGTCGCCAGATTCCGGAAGCAGCGAAATCGGCGTCCGTGGGCAGAGACAACGAAACTTCAAGAAAGGAGTTCTGTTCAGGAGCCGCGAGGGGAAGGCCAAAGGGACTGAGGGGAGCGCCTACATCTACCCCAGCCTTGATGTGAGTCTGGGCCGTGTATGCCTCTCCCTGGGTCCCACGTGCGGCAAAGGAGTAAAGGACGCACTGTGGATGGCTAGTAACTATTGAAAGGAGTAGCCTCGGCATGGAGCACCACCAAGCTGTCTCCCAGATCCGAGTACTTATGGTTATCTAACCTTGGACAGGTCAGGCTGGTTTTCCAGACTTACTATTCCTGAATACCTAATAGATGCTCAGTAATTCTTTGTTGGATTAACAAACATGGAAGATAAAGCCCACTGGAGTTCCTTTCCTCATTTATTAAGCTGCCTCTTTGTGCATGAGAAGCAGGAGCTCAACCAGGGAGTGTCAATAGTAGTTTCAAAGCCAGTGAGTCAAGGATTTGAAAGTTTAATTTGGATTCAAGAGGCTCACTGGATGGATGGCTTTAGAGAAGTTCCTTGAGGTGAAGTAGAGGAGTTGTAGCATCCTTCCTATACTCTGTGTTCCTTCATTTCTAGACAGGTCCATAGGAGATGAAACCAGGAAGAAAGGAAGAAAGGAAGGAAGGAAGGAAGGAAGGGAGAAGGAGAGAGAGAGAGAGAGAGAGAGAGGAGGAGGAGGAGGAGGAGGAAGGGAGGGAGGGAGGAAGGAAGGAAACCAGCAATTAAGAGGTTAAAAACACCCGCTTGCACTCCTTGGAGGTCCTGGTCTGAGGCCCCTCCTTTTCCAGCTCCCCTCTTGTTTTTTTCTCCAACATCTGTCCCCCAACAGCTGGCCACTGCTGGGCCCCTCTGCACCTCAGTGGGGGGCCTGCTTCCAGGCCCCTAGCCTCTCCTGGGACCCTCACTCTGGAGGAGGCTGGAGTCCAGGGACTGAACTTGAGCTCTGTAGGAAAAGGCCAGAAAAGGCTGGGAGCATGCCTTAAGTGAATGGGAATTTCATCCAGAAGTGGCATTCTAAGAA